CCCCAAAACCCCAAAACCCCAAAACCCCAAAACCCCACAGATGGATTACTAGAGTAAATTAAGTTAGAATAAAAAATATCATTAACTTTAGAGAATCCAGAAAAAAATATAATATTAAATATGAGAAAAACTTAGCTATTTTTAGTTTTTTTATCGGCATTTTTAATTATCGCCTCTGCATAATTACAAAAGAACATGCTTGGAGAATACTTTCAAAGGAATCTCTAAGCTGCTGCTGGAGTATGTAACACAACTTAGTACCAAAGTGGAACATTATGCAAAAATTGTCCAATTCAATGTGCTGGCTGTGTCCCACCACTTGGATCCTGTGAAAGATGTCCTGCACCAACTCTTACTAACAGGAATATATCTTACTTAGTAGGTATACCTCAATCTAATTTGACAACCTGCATGGTAAATTCAATGCTTTGTCCAATTAGTGAAGATCCATTCTGTCTAAGTTAATGTATTTTCGATATGAATACAACTACATCAGGCACAAGTACCACTCCTGGAACTTCTCCTCCATCTGGTTCAACAGGTCCACCACCAACAAGTACTACAACTACTCTTGCACCTTCCTGCTCAAATTGCATTCGAGGGACCATGGTTCAATAATTTTCAGATCCAATTACTAAAATCACCAAATAAAAATGCTTGCCCTGTCCTATCGATAACTGTGCTCACTGTGGTATAGATCTAAAATCTCAAAAGCCAGTTTGCTTTGAATGTGAAAAGAAATATATGATGATAAATGACACAACTGGCCAAATAACATGCTCAAGAGATCAAAATTTGCGCTGCCCAGCATTTTGTAAATGTGATAATAGTCTTCCTCCGTTATGCCTAGGTTGTAATGATACTACCTTTGTTTTAAGAAAGGAAGTTGGCCTATCAGTTTTTAACATTTGTGCTCCAGCTAATACTACTGATTAGAACATACCTTGCTCACCAAATTGTATATAGTGCAATACTTAAAATGGTGTATGCCTCAAATGCAGGGAGAAATTTGCTCCTATTTATAACCCTATTACCTTCTAATATTCTTGCGAAATGCCCTGCGGTGAGGGATGCTTGAATTGTAATGAAACTACTAGAAGTTGCTTGACATGTGACACTGAGAAAAACTTCACAGCCTTTTTTATAAATAGTACCACAAGCAGATGCTTCGACAAGAGTAAAATGTGTTAACCAGAATGCACAAACTGCGACACTAGTAATCCTTAATTTATTTCAACTGCTTCAATTGGAACTTGCAAAGAGTGCTAGAAGGGAACATTCCTTAGTAATAGAACCTGCTTAAAATGCCAAGATTTATGTTCATCATGCAATTCAGCAACTGGGTCATGTTTAGAGTGTAAGGATCCCAGAAATACTTTGGTCACTTAAAAAGATGGGTTTAGCATTTGCACTGACAGAAAATGCTCTTCTTAATGCACTACTTGTGATATCTAAAATGGAATAACTACATCAGGTGCACCAATTTGCTTGAAGTGTAATGATGGATTCTTCGTATCCTCCTCCACCAAAGATTGCACTCCATGTCCCCTAAATTGTGGTGTATGTGATGTCAATGGTACCTGTTCCTCGTGTAAAACAGGATTTACCCTAGTTTAAACCACTAACTAGTGTGTTACTGGTTCTACCTCAGGCACCTGCATTGTTCCTTACTGCGAAACTTGTAATTCTATCTCTAATTCTACTTGTTTGTAATGTAAGGCTGGGTATAATCATAATATGAATGGAAGCAAATGTGAGTGTGGTATCACTCTTGCCTATAAAGGTCAAAGATACACTCCAGATTGGTCTTAGATAGTAGTATAATGGAAAGGACAGATTAGAGCGAATTTGACTAAAGCACCAGATGTAACTACCCCTGCTAAATTATGCACTTTTATTCTAGCTGCTGATTCTCTAACTGCGATTGATCAAACTAACTAGCAGCATCAATGCTATATTAAATACGATGAGTAGTTGACTGTTTTCCTTCTAGTCTTGAATTCTACATTTACCCCGACTAGTTACACAATAGGATTCTAAAGAACTTCTCTTTTCTCTCCTAGTTGCGAATCTCCTCTAATGGCAAGTGAGTTCGAAAAAATTGCATTAGATAAAGGAGACCAAATTGCTCCATAAATTGTGATTGAAATGCCCACAGCAAACATACCTCTCGGTACTAAAAATTTCAAATTAAATGCTCTTAGGAGTGCGGGATTATTTGGAAAGAAAGCTACCTTTACATGGTCTGTAATTTCCTTCCTACCAGCTGAAACCGTAAAATAAACAGAATTCTAAACTTTAATTGGATCAGGTTTGGCTGAAATTCAATTCAGTAGTACTGATATCGTTAAGTATATGGGAAAGTCTATAAAGATGAAACTATCTGTATCAAATTTCTTGGGACTATCTAATTCCACTGAATTCATGATAAATTTCTTAAACTACGAGGGTCTTATTTGGAGAGAACTCCCTGATAGTTTTGTTGTAAACCCAACAACTGACTTCGCTCTCTCACCTAAAATGGGAATCACTGCTACAACTTTAACTCAAGATGTCATCTAAAAGTTCACAAGACTTATGATTGTATGCACACTTTTGTGGAGAAATCCTAATACTACAAGATTTTAAGTAGTATATGAGTTAACAGGATGTTAACTCTCAAGTGGTATCATGAAATTTGGAAATGAATACATTGTAAATTTCCTGGGTTATGATCCTGTAGGGGAATATAGTCAAAATATTACAAAGAACAGCACCATCCAGCTAGTTAAGCCTCCTGTAAAATTTTCAATTTTAAATATTTTTTATAGCTTACTGCTAAGATTATTGGAGGAGATTAAACAGCTGATCCAGCAAAGGATATTCCATTATCGATTCAAGGAACAAATCTGGCGAAGGAACTAATTTATGCTTGGACTTGTTATGATCCTCAAACAGGCCTCAATTGTAAATCTAAAACTAGTGATCAAATAATACTCTATGGCACAGAGTCAGTTTTAATCAAGGGAGGACTTCTTGAAAATGGAAAAAGTTATAAAATTAATTTCATTGTGTCAGATTCAACTGATGTTAATAGAAAAGCTGCCGATTCAATTTTATTGACAACAATTACAGCTAAATAGACTCAATTAGTAGTTAAAATAGGATCAGAAGCTGAGAAATCAGGAAACACCATTAACACATATGATAAATAGCTATTCATCTTAAATATATTTGATGCTAACAATACCAGAATCTAAAACATTTCATCATTCAATAAAACATGGAAAATCACTGACTCAAATGATAAAGACTTTGTTGACTACCAGACGAATGCTGACGCTTTGCAAATAATGCCATTGAAACTAAGTGCTAATAATATCTATCAAATTTGCGTTGAAGTTACAGACAAATCGAATGCATTTGGAAGATCATGTCAAAAATATATTGTTTATGGAAATTCTACTAATTTCTAGTTTTAGGTCTCGCCCTAAAATGGAGTAGCATTTGAAACTCTTTTTACCTTATCTTGCTAGCCAACTTAGACTCTGAGTATTCAATTTGAATATGAGTTTGGTATTGTATAACTAAGTGTTGATCCCGATAAAGCAATCAGACAAGTATTTGTTCCTTTTGAAACAGCTTCTCAAACTCAATCTAAGTAATATAAAATCAATCCTCCACCTGAAGGTTAAACGAGTATAAGAGTTTATGCAAAGTTAACCAGCCAAAAAGGTGAAAAATACTTCCTATTCTAAGAAGTAAAAGTTACTTTACCTGTACTTAATGCAACTAATGTAGCATCAGAAGTTAAGTAAGCAAACTACGACAATCTAAACGAAATTTCGACCTAATCTAAAAAGATCGATTAAGTAGTAGCTAATCTTGATGCTAAATCTTAAAAAGCGGCTGCTCAAGGTTTACTATAAGGCATAGCTAATTTTACAGTCTAAAATACGCAAACATAAAATAATAAATAAAAATAAACTGGAAGTTCTTATACCTAATCTTCAAGCCCAAGCTCTACCTCAACTACATAATCATCATCCTCATCTAGCTCAACATCTTCCTCATCAACTACTACAACATCAGACTAAAATACAATTACTATTGCTCAGTCCTTGCAGACAGTTACTAGCCTGTATAAATAAAATCCAGAAATTCTAACTAAAGAAGACAAGGAATAACTTAGACAAGTAATAAAAACTATGATAGGATTAGACGACTCTGATTCTTAATATTATGCGAGTGTTGGAGATGAAGCTTCTGCATCTAAGAATTAGTCTTCTACTTTAAAAACTCAGAACTCTTAAGGATCTAAAGATTAAGGCAGCTCAGTTGCACCACCAAAGGATAGCTCTTCATAATCACAAAATGAAACAAAGATGGTTACAAAATATGATAGTACAACTGCTTAAGCTATTTTAAAGGTATGTGATGACTTATTAATTGCTGAAAACAAAGCTAATCAAAGTGATGAGGCATTGAAAAAACAGGCTTTTGTTGGGATTAAAAAAGTATTGTCTGGATCTCTATCTGGTGTCGATTCTACATTTTCATATTCTTCAGAGAATTTAAACGCTTAAGCAATCAAATTTGAATCAGGATCATCAAAAGCAGGAAACTAAACACTCTAAATAAAAGATCCTAATTCAAACTCAACTGAGAAACTCAATATTTCATTACCATCAGGTGATGTATGTAAAGGAGAGACGTGTTCGATACATATAATTACTATCAAATCGTCACCAAATAATGCCTCGTCATAAAACTAAGGAGAAATTATTGCAAGTACAGTCAGCATATCCTTTGAGCAATCTAGTTCAGTAGCATCTGATTCTAGTCAAATTATGGTAAAGAAAGTAAAGGTTTCAAATTTGGTGGAGCCTATCTAAATTTAAATGAAATTTGATATTACAAAGGTATAAAATGGAACTAAATAGAGATGTGTATACATTGATACTGTCTTAGGATAAATGAGTGATGCAGGGGTGATAACATCTATTGATAATGTTACTGGTGCTGTCAATTGCTCAGCATATCACTTGACTGATTTTAGTATTGAATCATATGACCCTGAAGTTGCAGCTAAAAATAGAATGAGCTCTAATATCTATAAGATTAAGAAATTTTCAGCTATTGAAGTTGATTAATCGTTCCCAGTTATTGGCATAATCTTGTGTTCTTTAATAACGATTGTTCTCTCAGCGTAAATTATAATTCCATTTTATTATTCTTTTTAGAATCGGAGTAAAGCTAGATAAATCAGATGAAAAGTTAAAAAATAAATCTAAAAAGCTATTGAGACTCAAAGATATTTTATACTTTAATTCTTACTAAGAGGGCTAATAAATTTTTAAAGAATAGATAAAAAGACTTGAGGAAAGCAAAAGAGATTTGAAACAAAGCTTTGACGAATCTTAAGATGCTGATTCAAAAGATAATAATCTAGCAAGATCTAAATTCGATCCAGATCATTTAATCTAGCTTAAGAAGCAATTGAAGACATCTGACATTATATAACTATCTCTAAAAGTAAAATAATTACCTCGAATTTTAACATTTAAATAATAGAATCAGCACAGACTTACTTAAATTATCAATTTTTATGATCAAGACATTCCAAGATGTGTTAAAGCTCTTATTCTTGGTGTAACTTTATTCATTCATCTTTGCATTGGAGGATTATACAGTGCTTCAGATGATGTTTCAATTGGTTAAGCAATTAATGCTGCTATTATCAGTTTGGCTATTCAAAAAATACTTTTACTTCTGTTCAGAGTGCTTATAAAGAAAGCTGATAGAAGTGAAAAAGCAAAAAGATATATTGATGAGAACATTGAAAATGAGGAAACTGAACCAGATCAAGACAAGGTCAATTAAAATAAAGTATCAAATCTTAAACCTCTAAATCCAGATAAGAGATCTGATGGAGAGAAATTAAGCTTGACTCTGGCTGTGATTATTGCTATTTTGTTAATTGGAGGCTGTATCTTTATGTCCTTGATGATTGCAGGTTCCTTAGATGAATCAGATAACATGCAATGGACGATTAACTTTGTTCTTGCTATCATTATTGATTTATTGATTTTAGAAAGTATTCTAGTTGCTATTGGCGGCTTTTTTACTTCTTTAGTAGGTAAAGACCCAATTGCTCTTGGAGGAATGAGAAATTTGATATTAGCCTTGGGTCCTAAGGCAATTAGACAAGTTTTTGTTCCTTAAAAATAACAATAAGCTCAATAAAAATAAGCATATTAGCAATAATGATAGCATCAAGGGTAAACTTTGCATCAACAAAATATGGAGAAAACTTATAAATGACTAAGTCAGATAAAGATATTATATTCTCTAATGGTATTATGTAACATTCATTGATTTAATATTATAAAGCTCATTTAAAAAAATCTTATCTTACTTACTTGAGGGGTTTTGGGGTTTTGGGGTTTTGGGG